CGATACACAGGTGGGCGCGCGCGCTGCACAAAGAATCAAGCGCGCGCGATACACAGGTGGGCGCGCACGATAAGAACCAACTGCGCACGATACACCGTCTGGCGCGCACGATGCATGAATGACTATAGTAATACGCTGAAGACTTTTTTAAACATCATACTTTTAGGCAACATGAGGCGGGTGCACATGGATCCCTGCAAATAAATAAGACCTGGTAATGCCTTATCATCCCCTTGCCAAGAATGATCTTGCGATGCCTTGTCAGGAATGAGGGCGCTTTTGTTTCTAAGAGGTTTGGCATGATACACGGCTGAAAGCTATTCTTTGATGTCCATTGTTTGCTGAATTCGAGAGGTTGACCACTGTGAAAATCAAATTATCAGCTCTGAAACCTGATGATTTTAAAGCGCTTCTTCAGCACTGAAATTCAAAACTGTTGCACAGCTGCACTGTGAAAATCAAATTATCAGCTCTGAAACCTGATGATTTTCAGGCGCTTCTTCAGCACTGTAATTCAAAACTGTTGCAGAGCTGCAAAATTGAAACTGCTGGAGACAACAAAATGGTATTAATGAAAACAATTTGATCGGTGCTCAAAAACCTGGAGAAATGAACGATTGATCTGTGTGAGGAAGTACAATCAGTTTGAGTCTTCAAAAACCTTCAAAAAATGTAATGAAACCAGGCCTGCATGCCGGCTTCGCTGGCACCAGCTGTCTTGTCGATCTTGAGCGGGCTCTCGTGCATGATGTTGCTGAAGAGAGGATGGCTCAGAATCGTCTGGATGGAATCCTCCAGCTTCTGAAGGTGTTCGCCGTTCACCTCCTGCACCATTTCCAAAGCCTTGGCCTCCTGAACTGGAGCCATTCCGCCAGTTGCCTCGGCAGCCTTGTCGTCTGGTGCCGGTAGTGCCTTAGCCTTGGCGGCGGCCTTTGTTTTTGGCTTTGCTTTGGCCTTGGGCACCATGATACCAAGCTGCTTCAGACAACCCAAAGCCCAAAGGTCACTGCGATATGAAAGCATGTCTCAACTCAATGCAAGGAGCGCTTTGCAGCACCTTGAGTTTAAGCGATTTTCCAAAATTAAAACAGCAGCGCTTTTGCAGCACCGAATAAAACCCTTGGACACCGTCTTGACATTCCCTGAACGTGACCCCTCACTGCCTGCAAGCGCGCCAACCAATGCTCCATGCCAATGCCTCAATCGTAAAAATTCAGCTTCGGCAAAATCAGAAGCAGAATGCATCAAATTGTTGCTGTGTGTGGCGCTTGTCCAGCACCCAGTAAAATAATACAAGAAACAGCAATAATCATGTACATGCTTGTGAATGCGCTTGTCCAGCACAAACAAACAACATCTATCGCATTTTTGCACTCTAGCCACATGAAACATCAAGCCACGCTAAGCCATCCCAACCCCTTAGGCTCAGCATGGGCTCTCATGTGAAGTTGTACACGCAAGCCACCTTCTGCAGCCATTGCAGAAATTCAGCTTGGCTGAAAACGTTTCTGCTGCCGTTGAGAGCCCTTGCCTCGGCAGCTGTCCCCAAAGCGATTGTAGAGAAGGTATTTTTCCACCCTTTTCACATCTCGCCGCAAACTCCTCCCAGGAATTCAATGGTGTCCATTGAGAGAGCCTGTGACTGCACGCTGCATCGATGACTCGAGAAATTCGCGGGCAGCGTTCTCTGAAGGCTGGTGATACCAAAACTCGCCTCCTTCTCCGCACTGCTGGGTCATAAGCAAACGTTGCCCCTCGATTGGTGACTCTCGCTGGTCGACCCTGGGCTTGATATTGAAGGTGGGTGTAATCAATCACGAATCCACCCTGAAGGACAAGAGTCCAATGGATCGTAGGCGGAGGTGTGGCGGGGTCCTTGACCACAAAGAACAATGCCTCACTGACCTCGGCTGTGTAGATGAACCTCTTGAAGTCTTCAGCCCATGCTTCGTCCTGCACCCAAACCTTGTGAACGCTCTGGATCTGAGGCGTGGATCGACTAAGTTTCTCACATTGATTCAATTTTGTTCGATCTCTCTTCTTGTCAGCCAAATCTTGGGCTTCTAGGAAAGCCTGCGCAGTTTCCTGCATGTCTTCGGGAATCTCACTTTGCAGCAATACCCCGTCCAAGAACCCTTGAATCTTGTTCTTGAACTGCTTCTGTTGTTGGAAGGTAATTTCCTGCTGGATGGATTCTGACGCATCAATCAGGTCTGAAGCTGCGCAAGCTGCTCGCTCTTTGACATCCGATAAAGACTTTGAGCCTGCACTTGCCACCGCCGCCCGCCGTCTGGCAATGAAAGCCGTCTCAGTCGTAGAATCCTGGAAGCATACACAATTGTTTAAAGTTAAGTCAAAAAACTGCAAAAGGTAACCACACACACTACAATTAAGTAAGCCAGCAAAAACAATAAATAAATATATATATATATAAGTTGCTCAAAATCAATCCAGCACACCACCCGCTTTCGCTTCACACCCGTGTCCAGCCATTGCGAAGCGCTCCATAAAGCTGAGCCCAGATTGTTGAAGCTGTACTGAAAACTTCAGTACCAATCCGATCACAATCCCACAACATTTTCAATTCCAACCGTTTGTTTTGGTCAGATAGGCACCTCTCACACTTGCGAAGCTTGGCGAAGACTCTCTCCACCCCACTTGTTGCGCAGCCATCCCAAGCCCCAAGCCTCATCACAAGTTTGGAAAGGTTATCAGTTGGATGAGATGTCCTGGAGCGGCGGCTCACTTGCCTGATGGCTTGCCTCCATGACTCAAAGGAGTTGACAGACGCAAGCTTGCTGTGGTGCATCGCAATCGGCCTTATGTCCCGGAACTCATGAATGAAATCTTCCACATTGACTTCTGGGAATGCGGCGCACAACCGGTGGGCGCCATTCCTTCCTGGCCCACCTCGGAATCACGACTTCGGGCGTTCAAGTTGAAGATGCTCATGGCACACATCAGGCTAAAGCCTGGAAACTCTGCCTCCACGGTGTGTGTGAGCAAGGCTACCCATGCGCGCATTTCCTGCAGCAAAAGAAAAGATGATTTCATGACAAAACTGCGCAGCACTGAACAGGTTATGTTCCTGAAATAGGATTGAAAAACAACACAACTGTAACTGTGTCCTTGAACCAATTCTGAGGTGTGGCGCTTCTCCAGCATCCAGATTGAAACACAATACAACTAGCTAATTATAACTAATTATCACTTATGACAATGCCGATATATACCTCGTCGTATACACATACCAATAATTGTGAAACAGTAAACGACGACAACCCTGTTCCTGCAGAGTTTCTTGAAAGAGCGCATCTGTCATCCGATCGCCCCCAATTGACCGGGGGCCGGAGGCGGTCCAAAAGGCGGTGGGTGTTCTCAATGTCTGGAGCATATACTCGCAATATCCAGAATGCCTACATTGGCCGTCCAAGAACAGAGATGACACACGGCTGATGAACTGTTGGATTCTGCAAGCAGACTAGCCATGTCCCAATCGCCCTGATCGAGAAAACGCACCAGGATGCTAACTTCATCACTGGCATCAGCCAGCATCGACAACAACAGCAAACGCTTTTCGCTGATGTATTGCAGGAATTGCTCTGCCCTCGTGCCGTCTCGTTCGCCCTTCCTATGTGTTGATGCAAAGATTGCCGTGGAGATGAAGGCTTTGGCATAGAGGACAAATCTGCCAGTGGGTCTCTGACAGCTGTCGAATCGGTGTTTTCTAAACTGAAGGTTCCGCACGCGTTTGTTGTCGTGCATCTTTTTGCAAAATTCAGCAAAGGCTGATCCCAGCGCATCTGAGAACTGCAGCGTGCATGTCATGGAGTCACCCCTGGTGATGAGGGTGGAATGCACTTCATGTATTTCTGGAATGGCCGCAAATGGGCGCGATAAAAACTGCCTCACGCAATGTGTCGGATCCTTGACTACCATCTTTGTGGACTCGAACATGGTGGAGTCAGCTCGCATCAACCTCAAGGCCAATTGTTCATCGGCCGCTGCATCTGCAACCAACACTTCCTTGGATGATTGCGGTAACAAAGGGCGGCCAAAATTCTTATTTTATCTTTTCCTTTCAAACATTCAATCACCGCCAGACTCCCAAAAACAAAGCTACAAAAGCAACATGATTGATACAAGCTGCAACCTTTTTCCGAATCACATCGAGATAGGCCTGATTTCCAGCACACGCTGTGCGAAGAATATCCCTCGTGCACTTCTGCAAGCTCTCCATTTCGGCTGGGGGAATTGGGCAACAACCAAGAAAGCCCCGGACCACCTCAAGGCTCTCGGAGCAAGCGCTGAAAGTCACTACCAAGAGCCCCTTCGACACATCCTGGTGAAGAACTATTGATGAGGTTTTTTTCAGGAGGAAAACCAAGTCGATAGTGTCACAGGACATGCCAACACAGCGCTGCATCTGAGTCATCTTCTTTCGTCCCCCAAGTCCAGGTATGTGGAAGTTCAGGGACGATCGCATCTTTCCTAGCCCAAACAAAATGGCCCAACTCAATCAAACATATGTCAAGCAAAAGTTCTCGCCGATGGTCAAAGCAAGACAAAAAGAATTGAAAAAACTCAAACCCCGACTAAAAAGCATATTTCTGACCAAAAGTCTTTCCTGCATAAACTTAGCAAAGTCATCCTTGCTGGGGGCGTCAAGAACGTCTTCACCATGAAGTACTTTCTGTGCCTTTTCATGGGCCTTGCTTTTGGCATGCCGCAGCACACCGCTAAAGCCCCAGATCCATCAAAGCCCATGGATGCAAAAGTTGATGAAGTGGTTAACCCAGCCTTGATGCAAAGTTGGCAACCAAGACCCCAAACTAGCTTATTCTCATCACCGGGACGCTTCCACACTTGGTCAATAAGCCATGGCATCCGCTTCCTCCAAAGCTTCATATTTCGGAGGTACAGGCATCTAAAGCAACTGTCATCGTTGCAGGACTTCACATGTTGAATGTGCGCCTCGGTCAGCTCCATGACAGGCTGCAGGTCACTTGCATGTCAACAGGCAAACAAAAGTTTTCCATGGCGCTGCAATCCGAATGCTTCAGTTCTTTTTTTGCAAAGAATATATTATAGCTTTGGTGGCTTTTGTGTCTTAACTTAAGTTATAAGTACCTTTTCGTGTAGTACATAATGCAAACATTGGTCCAAAATGGCACCTAAAACAGCACATGGGTGCAACATGAAACTGCTCAGCGCACTTGTTTAACACAAGTGTGAAGCATTGAACTAAGAAAATCATTGTTGTAACTGATCCTGGCGGGCCGAGTTTCCAGCCTCAGCTCACCGCCCGCAGTCACCGCGCCAGACCTGAAACTCTTGGCTTCAAAACGGCGTGAACATTCCAAGACCTTCTGACAAGGGCGCTTCCCCAGCACCACCTCAGACAATACTAAAATAATATT